AATTACAGCTTTTACCATCACTGTCATAAGGTTTATGACATTTTACTTACAAGTGAAAACCCTGAAAACTGAGGTGCTTGTCACAGGAACAGCTGTAGTTGAGGATGTGAGTGATTCGCCAACTAAGAGAGTAAACTAACCATTGTTATTAAATTACAAGCCATTTTTTTCATTTTTTGGTTACACAACCACCCATCACTACTCGTGACAGCTGCTGCAAATGTATAAACATACTGGGAAAACTATTAAGGTGCTTGACGTTTTTTTGTTGCAATGAATGCAAATGTTTTTCTCACTCTTAACTAACTGAAGCCTTTCATTAAACTACCAAATAAACACACTGGTCCTCTCTGACACGTGGCAGCACTTCTGCTATAACTGTGTTCGGATTTAACAAAATACAAATGCAGACATAAGTGTACACATTCGTTTTTGACTCTGGTCTATAGCAACTCATTTTCAGTTATACTTTCTACCAGTAGCAGAGCACTTTATTTTCAGTTGCTTACGTGAGCGAAGACCCTGTAACTTACTGTTAAGTTGCAGGGGAAGTTGCAGAGTTTAATCATCCATCCATTCTCTTCCGTTTATCCTTATCAGGGTCACGGGGGGCTGGAGCCTATCCCAGCCACAGGTCGCCAGCCTGATGCAGGGCTAACACAGAGAGAAAGACAACCATTCAATTTATATTCATCAAATAACCTAACCCGTCTAACGCCATGGCTTTGGGAGGAAACCAGAGTATCTGGAGAGAAGCCGCACCAGCACAGAAGGAACGTACAGTCTCCACACGGTGGTGGAGTTGAACTCAGGACCTTCTTGCTGTAAAGCAACAGTGCTAATCACTGTGCCACTGTGAGTTTCTTTTATTTCCATTGAACAAAAGTTGATTTTTACTTGTATGTTTTCATAGCTCTTAGAAATAAAAACAGAACTGGCAAAAAATAAAAAATAAAATTGCAATTGGTACATCTCCCGCTATAGTGAATGCCAACTTTAAGTCATTAAATGTATGTATTTGTAATATTTGTAATACATACAATAATATTTAATATCTCCCATGCAGCTTGTATTATTGTTAAATATGAAGGTAGGAATTTAATGAGAAATCCAACCCAATAATCTTTGTCTTTGGCTCCTCCTGCTGGAGCATTGAACCAATGTCATTAACCTGGAGAAAGTAAGCAAAAAACAAAAACCTTATAAAGTAAGAAAACTTAACTTCATCTTTATTACCACAACAAATAAATATATTTGCTCAGACAGTCATAAACTTCTACTATGTGTCACTGCAACACCTTGAGCAGCTCATGTTTCCTGGTTTAGCTGTTGGGCCGGCTGTTTGTTGTTTGGGGTCAGGAAAACTGTCACTTTAATGTTGCGGATTCTTCTGTAGACTTTTAGGTTTTTATTCAGCATCCTTTGAGTACCAAGTCTCTTTGTTATCACATCTGACTATTGAAGTTTCTCAGGTGAGATCAAGAGTTGTCTGCCATAGTAGATATGAAAAATGTGTAATGCTCAATTCGTTAGGTAAAATTAGCTGCATAGATGCTGTCACACCAAAAACCTCATGATTGCCTTAGTCAGTAAGATTGCAGTTGCCTGTAGCCTACGTGGAAGACACCGACTTGTCTACAAAAACTTGTGAAGTAGGGCTGGGCCATATCATACCGTTCACGGTAATACCGGTATAATGTTGGGCAACGATAAGAAAATGAAATTCCGCGATAGAATA